TCTAGTTATTTCTGCGCAAGATAAAACTTTGTGTCACTTTTATAGTCTTTTGGGATACATAAATCTGTAGCATTATTCTGATTGGTTCTTCAGCTTAAGTTTACGTATTATGGTTACAGTTACGGCAATTTGTGTGCGAAGGCCCTTACCCCTTGTCTACAATCTTGCTTTAATCTTTAAGCCGTAATAAATTGACTAACCACAGTCGATTAAAAAAAAAATTTTAAAAATAATCAACTGTGGTTGGTCAATTTCTTACGGCTTAAGAATTAAAACAAGGTTGTGGACAAGAGGTTAATTGGGATATTGCTTTAGGATTTTTCTAGCTAGAAGAAGACTGACGTGATAGTACAAGTAAAATTCAGTCTGAGGTAGGATTTTAGCCAGATAAATCTTAGTTATGCATACGCGATCAGGTTTACTGGAGGTTCTATCTTCTTCTAGAGCACACAAAACCAGAGCCACATCCTGTCCTTCAGCCAAGATTTACATTCTATGTCTATAGTTACGGCAATTCATGTATGCGAGAGTCCTGAGGGCGCGCGTCAAGGAACTCGCGGGAAAAGCACTCGATGAGAGCACAGCTCGCGAAGGTTGACCACCTCTGCGACGCGTTGTATCCACGTGCGATGAGAAGCGGAGGAAGCGAGCGATCGATACGACATATAGGGTGTGTCTGAAAGAGCTCGGACGAGGCCTGGCGCTGGAGGCCTCTCTCGCGCGAAGGATGTTGGACGTTTCCAGGATCGATGAAGCCGCGAAGAATGCTCGGCAAGCGGCCGTGAGGGACGGCTTGCTTGCCAAAAGTTCCATAAATCGATGAACGGGCGATTCGTGGGCGTGCTCAGGCGCCCACTTCTGGCACGTCTCGGAGAAGCTCGTCGACGTCGGCTAGCAGCAGCGAGTTTATCGCGTTCATCAGTCACGCACGTGTCACGTTTTCTGTCACCGATGTAGTATACAAACAAAGAGGTTTCGCGAGGTAAAACGATATCCGTGCATCCTTTTCAGGGTCGAGAGATAACGTATACATTGCGATAGGTTGGTAGCGAGAGGAGAAAGGGTTATATTCTCCGCGTCGATATTTGGGTGTTGCGTGCTGACGACGTTATCACGCACGCCGGCGATGGGCTGAAGTTAAGGTCGGGATTCTTCCACTCGGTGGATATAGGGGAACGGCTTTCGCGAGATATTCGTGTCGAATATGTATGTTGATTAATGCGGGACTGTGACAGCGAATAATAGGTCGCGTGAGATGCGAAACATGGGCTCAGGGGTGAAGCTTTACTCTCTGGCCGCGCACAAGCCGGCTTCTCAGGATAAGGAATCCGTGATGGTGGTGTTCCAAAATTATCTTCGGGTTATTCCGGGCATTTCGAGACGGGGGAAGCGAGTATTCTCGCATTCGCTCATTATCGCTTTATCGTTGGAACTTCCTCGGGTCTCGTGCTCGGAATAAGGCGAACAGTGTAAATTAATTGATTGTTAAACTCATTCATTGTTAAACGAATTGAGATTAGTCAATTGTTATCACCACGTATGTACGCATTATATTTGTCGCGAGAAGTTAGAAGTGTACCGAGGTGCAAAAATAATGTGCTCTTTCAAATATGGACTGTTGGAGCAAGATCGGAAATCGTTGAAAGAAAACATCTGAAAGAAAAAGCTAATTGGCGGCTTTTCTACTACTAACATATTCATCTAAATCTAAATTATTTTATTTAAGTAGAATAAACAATTCATGAGAAGCTAATTCAAGTCGAAATTTTGGATCTATGTTAAACTTTGTTAAACTTTGAATTCTACAACGCAATAAGAGTTAAGTTAGCAAAGTAGTTTTAATTCTAATGATATAATTTACTCCTATTTTGACCTGATGATGTCAGAAATTTCCTTTTTCCTTTTTCTTAGTGTCAAAATAGGTCGTATTGTAGGCTTCAGAATATCAAAATAAATGTTGAGTGGAATAGCGAAGTTGAAAGTATAATCAAAATTTCGATAGGTTTTAAGAGAATGTATATACCTTCTTGAAAAATATTCTGTGTTAGTACAAGCAAATATGTTATTCGTGTCCGCCGAATAAATATTTATTATTTCTTAGATATATTTTTCTGTCAGTGTAGGTGAGAAGATGCTCCGCGACGTCATTTTTGAACTGTAATAGCTAAAGTTACTCGCTATTAAGACGAAAATAATAAAATCGCTGCAGCTGGTGTTTTAGGAGTAATTGAAATGTCTTTATAGTTCTTTATTAAGACAAACAGTTATCCGTCCAAGAATTTGCTACTTCTTAGAAGTACAGTTTAATTAACGTGCCGTGTTTTACACCTGTTCTCCAACAGACGAATGGATTTGATTTGCACAATTCGCGCACATTAAACCAAATCAGCAATTAAGCTGAACGAGCAAAATCCCGACCAAGTGTCGCTCTCAAAAGGATACATTCCATCACGGCGGTGAAAACGCGGTCGTTTTAAAGTGCATAAAGAATGCATGTTGGTAACGCGTTACTTTAACCTGCTCGGTCTCGTTTCGAGACCCGTTCCACGGCAAAGCGGCGAGAAAGAGTGGGAACCGAGCAGTAGTAAAAAGAAAGACGGACTATACGTGTGTGGAAGAACGTTACATATCAGGAGTGGATTTATTTATGGGAGCATTGGACACTCGGGGCGAGACCGGCGCATATATATGGGGTGTCTCTGGAAAAAAACACGCTTGGTGTATCCCGATTTTGGGATGTGCGTGGGACAATTTCGGGATTTAGTCCTCTCTCTTCGACTCTCTTCGTTCCTCGTTTGCTGTCACGTTCGTCTCTCTCCCAGTTAAAAGTTTTCTCGAGTTAAAATATAAGTGTTGAATATAGAATTATATAGAACTCCCGAATTATTCAATTTCGAGAACCTTCGCGTACTATTTTTGTGTTAATAGAAATTGATAACAGCGTCGTAATTGGAATAAATCTTCATTCAACAGCAATGTTATTGAAACCAATATTTAAGTCATCGAGATAACGTATGATGTATTGGATGTATAATATTGCTATTGAATCGAGAAGATTTACTACAATTACGACGATGTTAGCAATTTATATTGATACAACAATATTTTTTTCATGTCAAGGGGCCACGATAAAATGTTACCTCAAGGGAAGGTTCGTATTAAATATCATTCTTCAAATTTTGGAAAAAGTCGCGGAGAAAAAAGTTAGATTGGATTGAGCAAATTTTTGGCAAAATATGAGCGAGCCAAAAATTTCGGTTGAAGTTATCAGAATTCTGTCCAAGTCAACAAGACTTCCGGGTTAACTTAAACTGAATTCTGATAATATCAACTGGAATTTTCTGGCTCGTTCAGATTTCACTGAAAATTGACTAAATTTCTCTTTTCGTGCAAGTATAACGTGGAAATGGTTAAATTAAATTTTTATTAATTTCACGAGTTTTTATTAATTTCTCTCGCTGAAATTTATTTGTAATTTTTTTTTACTTGTAATTTTACGTGTGCGTTTCGGCGACAGTCAGCGCGCAAATCACACAGATTAGATTCACGTCATTCTGCGTGCAATATTTTCGCACTTTCTTAAAATCGAAATGAAAACTACGCACATACTCGTATCTTAAATTCCCATGTGTCATCGTATATATATCTTCATACTCTTTCTTTCTCTTTTTCTCTAATTAATCTGTCAAGGCTAAGAATACGTGTTTGCACCTTTTGAACCTTCTGCAAATTTCTCCGATTTTTCGACGGCAAATCAACTCTTCGCCGGCAACTCATTGTGGAATACTTTCGGCTATTTCGGGACGACGATATTTCGGCTCGAGGAAACTTCCTTCTTATATACAAAACTTCGGTGCGGATCGAACTTCCTCGCGACGAAATACGCGATACCTCGGAAAAGCTCGGTACGCGTCCCGGCACGCGCGAGTCCACGTCTCCTCGTTCGCTTCGACGGTCGACGTGGCGTATGAAATCCCCTCTTACCGTGTAATAAGGAGCACCTCGAAGCGCGTGTCGTTCCGAAAATGCGTGCTTCTCCTTCTTCGCCGGCCGGCAGGTCCGCAAAGAAAGAAAAGAAACGGGGAACCAGTTTGCTTCCTCCCTTGCTCCCTCTCTCTCTCCAGCGATTATCGATCAGCGGAAATTATATTGTCAATTGTATCGATCGTATCGCTGCGTGGACCCTTTTCTCAAACACTCTCAAACGAGAATCCAAGGTGCCAAGGTACCGCAGAGTGTGTTCACCTGCTGGCGCGCGCGTTACACGTCCACAATTTTGTTTCTCTTCTCTTTTTTGCCGACTCACACGTCGACACGAGCTTTTCGAATCTTCGATCTCGCGTGGAAAGCGGAACCGGCAAGCGTCTTTTCCTGCTTCAAAAGCACCCTCACGCAGAGTCGTCCGAAAGCAGAAGGGCGTTTCGAGTCTTG